TGAAGGCGTTTAGATGATCCGTTGATCCGTCAAAGCTTGGCACCTGTCTAAGGGCCTGGTTGAGGTGTTGTTCTGATAATTCCATGGTCATCTTAGCGTAATACACTTCTTTTTCGTTAGATGATTTTCTTTGTTTTTAAATAGTTTTGAGTTTGTAGGTTTGAAATTTATTGTTCTTTGATTTTGCACTTTTATTTTAGATTATAGTTTGTGATGGATTATTGTTTAAATATTTTTTTTTTTTTTGTGTGTGTGTCTTGAAAAGACCCAGTAATAACGTATTGCAGGGATCAAACGATATGCAAAGCCAGTCGTTATTTACTGTAGTAGCTTTATTGCCCAAAGGGTCAATGTTATTAGGCTACTAGTTACCCGAAGGTTCTTGTGCGGATACGTATTTGAGAAAATGTTTATTACACTCCGACAACACTTTCGGTTGCGATTGTGCGTTAGATCTGGGAATTAATTATCCTTTAGCGATCTTTACTTTTTCCTGACGTATCCTACCGGCTGCGCCAATTAAGTTTTACACGTTAAGTTACTAAAAATAAATATAATTCAATTTATTATTTTCACTTAACGGCTACTTTAGTTAAGTACATTCAGATTTGCTTCCGGAATGTGAACTGATTTATCTAACTGTTGCGGTCGTTTAGCAAACTTCGCTTTGAGAGAGTTTGAGTCAAATTGAGTGAAGTTTGAGCTGCGTCAGCAATTATGCGTGGGATAGTGCTCTGATGAGAACATTGACAGTGGCGTGATATTTAGGTTGAATTGTTTATGTCTACCAAAGGGGGACAGTTTGACCTTGACCAATGTCGATGTTATCACCAGGCTCTTTGTTTACAATATTAGATATGTTTATACTTGTGTTATGCTTATGTGCTAAGTTATGTTAAAGGGTGGGTGCGACTATGGATATGTCACTATATATATATATATATATATATATATATATATTATTATTTCTGTTTTATTATATTTGGTAAATACAATCTCCCACTCTCTCTATTGCCTAAAATGAAAATGATGCATATATAATTTAACATACTCTATTATATGTCTTTTATATTCATCTTTAACTGCTAACAGGCCAGTCAACCTGTATGCCAGCTATTCTTAACAGGCTGTTTAACTGCTATAAAACCGAAGTCCGTTTTGGGTCGAAGTCCTATTAATTCTTTCATTATTCTACCATTATTCTCATCTTTCACCATGCCCAAGTCTGTTTTAATAACTCTCTTTAGGGCATATTTATGAGCAGGATCATCAAAATATTCAGATGTGTCAAATTTCAATTCGAAATCATCTTTAATAGCTGCATAAAAGTTCTCAGTTTAAATTGTATATATTTAGGAGTCTGTATCCGTACAATTTAATGCTAGATCTGATTTAAACTTTGCTACCATATAATCATAATGAAAATCATACATCAATTTCGAAAGATCCTATACTATAAAACCTAAATATACGTGCTTATTACAATAGTTATAAAATCTTATCATTTGGATTGCAAAACGTTGTTTCCCATGCAGTTACCTATTTAATGTTTTTACGCTCTTAAACGTTTTTCATGGTTTTCCATTATTTAATAGCTTAAAAAATCTTTTTTGAAATTATTTTTCGCCTGCGGTCTATGATATGTATTAATATCAATATATTTTCTTAGCCAAGGAGACTGCCTAAGCCGCAATATACGGTAAATTTTAGTTATTCGCAATCCATTATAAATACATTGTTGAAAATTTCTTTAATGTATGGGATATTTATATTCCGGTCTGTACACTTTACAGTCGGTTTTTGATTGCTTAGACAAAACGTCAAGTCGTTATGCATATCATGAAGGGATGTTGGGTATTCTTAATCTACTTCAAGAATATATCCATATTCATACGTTTCTGAAATTGAAAATAAATGAAACTATCGTATTTCATCCTCACTTAACCACTGAAAATCACCATATGGAAGATATTGTGACATCGCCCTCTCAAGATTATTATTTGATTATTTGGATTATTTGATTCCAAATACATTAAATAGTGAGAGTATTTTGTGCTATCATAATCATTCATATACTTATGATTAGCAATTGAATCTCTCTGACAACATTGTACCAACCCCCGGTGTGTAATAATGGGCTGGGTCCAAAGAATAAATATTCTTGCAAATAAAACGAAAATTTTCGAGAACATCAGCAAGCAAAAGTACATCTGTCTTTAAATACAGCTCCATATAATCTTTGAGGGTCACACAATTAAAAACTCTCCACACTTTCTGAGCGTGTACTTACACGCTCATCAACCAAACATTCTCTATTTGCAAGACTGTTGAAAAATTGTTCCCTTGGTGGAAAAGCAGTTTCCTGCAAGCATTCAAATTCAAAACTCCCTTCCTATTTACTAGATTAAAGTTTGTTTCGTCCGGGAAAACGGTTTAACAGTTTTGAATTTTCTAAACTTGCAGCCATAAATCGAATTGAGTCTAAGCGAGAAAGAAATGCTATCTTCGGCACGCCGAAGATCTAATACCCTTGCAGACCCAACCTTTTCAAAATGCGTATAGTGCTTTGCCCGTATCTAAGAAGCACAGGGAAAATAGTTATTGTCGAGTCTTGATAAACAAAATGTTTTTTCATACAGCAACTTAATTTTCGACCGATCGTTCCTATGGCAGCTATATGATATAGTGCTCCGATCCTAATAGGATTTTGCATATATATGGGGAGCATAGTAAAACTAACAAATGCCGAGTTTGGTCAAGATATCTTGAAAAATAATATGTTTTTTCATACAAAAACTTAATTTTCGACCGATCGTTCCTAAGGCAGCTATATGATATAGTGGTCCGATCTAAATATGATTTCATATATATATGAGGAGCATAGTAAACCTAATAAGTGCCGAGTTTGGTTAAGATAGCTTGAAAAACAAAATGTTTTTTCATACACACATTATTTTTCGACCGATCGTTCCTATGGCAGCTATATGATATAGTGGTCCGATCTTAACAGGATTTTGCATATATATGGGGAGCATAGTAAAACTAATAAATGACGAGTTTGGTCAAGATATCTTGAAAAACAAAATGTTTTTCATACAAAAACTTCATTTTCCACCGATCGTTCCTATGGCAGCTGTGTGATATAGTGGTCCGATCTTAATAGGATTTTGTATATATATGAGGAGTAGAGTAAAACTAATAAATGCCGGATTTGGTCAAGATATCTTGAAAAACAAAATGTTTTTTCATACAAAAACTTAATTTTCGACCGATCGTTCCTTTGGCAGCTTAATGATATAGTGGTCCGATCCGGCTGGTTTTCACATATGTGCTGCGTGCAACAGAAAGAGGGACTTTTGCAAAATTTCATTAAGGTAGATTTAAAACTGAGAGACTAGTTCGCATAGAATCAGACAGACGGACATGGCTCTATCGACTCGGCTGTTGATGCTGATCAAAAATTTATATACTTTATGGGGTCGGAGATGTCTCCTTCTATGCGTTTCACATTTCACGACAAAATTATAATACCCTCTGCAAGGGTTTAAAAACGTATTATGCTCTGTGTATTGCTATGTGTATTGAAAGGGAAATATAAATCTCTTTATTGAGAGGTAGAACTTTAATTTCACCTTCAACTTTTGACAACTTTCTCACAAACAAACGAGCATCATAGTGTGAAAATGTTGTAAATCATGTTGCAAGCATTATGAGCTGCCCCTCTAAATTTACCTGTTAAGTGGCACAGATCCAGTACTCTATCTAAGTTTAAAATCTTAGTACAAATGTGGCAATTTATAGCTCTTTTAACTGTATACTCATCTTCTAAGTTCATGTCGATTGGCTTAACAGTAGATAAATATTTGCTATGAATCTCTCTTGCATCAGCAATGAGAGATGTTACAAAATGTAATCCTACATTTTCTCCACCATATAAAACGAATCTATCCAAGCTCGAATCATATGCAGATGTTATGAAATATGCGTATGCAACAGGAATGTGTCTTAATGATTATAATATTCTCGTTCACATTCCTGTTGATTGGTTTTAAAACGCACTCGAAATCTGCATAAATTATAAAAGGTATATCTAAACTATTTGCATAATTCTTAAATAGTACACTCGCCTTATCCGCTGTTGGAAACTTCGCCACAACTTGTGCACACTGCTCGCCATGCATCCTGTCGTTATTCGAATAGTTTAAGCATATAACAGAAATGTAATTTCCTCGTATGCGAACTCAACTGATTGTGTGTAGGCCTGGAGGAGAAAACAAGATTGATATTAAAAGAGAAATGTATATTTTTTTTTGTATTCTTTACTTACCTTGATAGATTCTTAATCCAGGTATAATGGGATAAATCTTGCTTTTCCAGTAGTATAGAGTGGTCTAATAATTTTAATAATTTCTTCATCATAGCCATAGACTTTTATAATTAAGTTAGTATTTTGTTGCTCAAACAATTTAATGTTTTTAAGCTTTAATGGAAATTTTAGTGAGAACATCTCATCAATTACAATAATTAGACTCTTTATATCCTCGATTTTACATTAGGCACACCTATCAGCATTATATTACAAGTTTTTTAGGGCTGCTAATAAAGCCCACTTAAAGCATAACTCGATATAGCCATGTCCACCTGTCTGTTTCTATGCGAACTACTCTCTGTCTTTAAGCTATCTTAATTGCAGAAGTCCCTCGTCCTGTTGCACGCATCTCATAGGTGAAAACCAGCTGGATCGGACGACTATATTGGTCGATGCTAATCTAGAATATATATACTTTATGAAAAATCTCAAGCCGCCATTTCCCAATTTATACCAGCGAAAGACTGACGGAAATCCGTTGACATTAACTTTGATTGACTTCAACCGTTCTCTTTAAGACTCTTAATTTTAAATTCTCGCACCTTTTTATAATATAATTATCCCAATTGTTTTAAGAAGCTTTGATGTTATATTGAAATAGTAACCAAAAGGTACCCTTAGAAAAGAATAATTTGGTAAGTTTTGGTTTAATCATTTTATATGTATTTTTCAACAGGTTAGGTCATCATTAAAACATATATTTCATAGAGAAAAATCCTACAGTATTGTTCGGGGATCTGATTTTCCTTGTTTCGATTGCAATGTAGTATTCTTGCGAGAGCTATTTTGATCAGCACGAAATAAACAGTCCATACGGTCAGCCTCGAAAAATGAATAAACAACACGGACATTGTTAGTAAAGCCACCGCCGTCTTTCCATGCACTGACGATAACTATCGGATCACCATCACTAATTAAGTCACTTTTCTTTGCGCTTGTTAATGCAAAACGTACTCGTGCATCAACATCATTTGCATAATTTTCAGCGCAGTCTGCCGAATAAAGTAAAGGTAAAACACCACGATGCAAATTAACCCAGCGAGCTGCCCTCTCACATCTAGTGACTGCTAGAATTGGACATCGAGGTCTAAACTTGCTAAGTAGGGCCGCAGATCGTCCTGATGTAGTAAGCGCAATGATTAGTGTAGCTTTGGTGCGCCTTGCTGTTTCAACAGCAGTTATAGCTATTGAATGAGAAGCATCTAGCTCCCCCTGCGTTTCATGAACCAAGTCCTCAAAAAGATCGCGGTACCATACCACCTTTTCTGCTTCACGACACAGGATATCACAAATACCTACAGTTTCAATTGGATATAAGCCAATCGCCACCTCAGATGACAACATAATGCAATCAACTCCGTCAATCACTGCATTTGCAAGATCAAAACATTCTGCACGTGTCGGAAAGGGATTAAAACGCATCGACTCCAGAACATTCGATGCAATTATTACTGGCTTGCCTGCCTTATTACATTGTCCCAATACCGACTTTTGAGTTATGAAAAGTTTTTCAATTGGAATTTGTGTTCCCAAGTCGGCACGGCTCAGAAGTAATCCATCCGATGCGCTCATTATTTCTGGTACTCGACTCAGTGCAATCTTGCTGTCCACCTTAGCTATGATCTTAATATGCTTGCCCTTATCACCAAGCACAGAACGTAGCTCTCTAATATTTCTTGCACTCCGCACTCCCGAAGCGAAAACAATGTCTATATTTGCCCTCACACTAAACTGCAAGTCGTCCATGTCCTTCTCAGAAACAGCGGGCAGGTCGATCTCCACTTCAGGTAGTATAACATTGCAATTGTTGCCTAGAACACCACCTTGAACTACCTCGCAGACGAGCCCATCCACTCCAACCTCGAGAATGGTAAGAAATATTTTTCCATCATCTACAAAAACCCGATCTTCTGGCTTTGCAACATTAATTATGTTTGGGTAGTCCACGTAGATGGCTTCCTTACTTCCTTTGTCGTAAAGATCTCGATTAATGGATAAACGTATATTTTCCCCATTACGTAATAAAATTTCAGTTCCACCATCCAATAAACCAGTGCGAATCTGCGGTCCACGGGTGTCTACAGCAAAGGCTACAGAAACGGTTTGACCTAACTCGTTCTTTATACGTTGCAGGCCTTTATTAACTAGCTCAATAGTTTGAGTATGAGATTCATGAGACTCATGGGAAAAGTTCAATCGAAAAATATTTACGCCTTTTAATAGCATGTTGTAAATAGTTTCAGAGTTACGTGAAGCCCTTGAGATAGTCGCAATAACAGATACAAGACGACGGTGTGAAGACTGTTTCTTGATATTCAGATCACATATATGGCTTAACTGTGTGGAACCCTTCTTTATATTGTCTTTGGCTGACAATGACATACTGAAAAAGAAGAAATGAAAATTATACTAAAATTTAGTTTTCACTATAATATTTTTGTAGCTTTAAATTTGTATTTTTTTAATGAAATATATTTCGATGAACGTATTGTTTTCAAAAACTATATTCTAGAAATAAAATGTATATTCTTTTCAGATTACTAAGATTATAAGTTCCCAGCCGAGGAATATTTAAATCAAGAGTAAAATCTTGAACTCTATTTAAAATGCTTCTAAACATTTCCTTTTGCAATTTTATGATGCTTGGAGTTTGATAATAATAACTTAAAAAATCTATCTATATTTTCTATGGAAACTGTATGATATGAATGGTGGTCCAATGTTGACAAAATTTTGTATATGTGGGAAATCACAGTATTACTTATAAGTGCAAAGTTTGGTCGAATTATCTTTAGATAAAATGAAAAGGTTAGGATATATTAGACATTTACCATTCGCAGATAGGTGAAAATAAATAAGATATATAACGCATCGTAGGAACTAATTTTCAACCAATTATGCTAATGGGAGGTACATATGTGAAATAGCGACCCGATGTTAATAAGATTTTGCATATATAAAAGATTTTGCTTAAATATGTGGATCATAATGGATTTGTTGGGGTATGCTTGAAAAAATGTAGGTCAGTAAGTATATGCAAAACGAATGAATTAGTCTCTCATCTACATCTAATATAAGCTGTCCTTTATTGTCGCGTTCGTGATCGCTGACATTTTTATTCCGAACACAGTATATGAACACACGCAATATTCCAAGGTAACATTCTTTCGGCAAAGAAATTGAATCATGAACAGTCAAGAGTGTTCAACAAGACATTGATGGTGATAATAAAAAAGCAATTAGCTGCACGGAAAGATTAAATAAACAAGCCATGTAAGCTTGAATAAAAGTGAAAATTATTATATGATGTTGAAAAACTTAGTAACGGAAATTATGATTTTAATGAGGAGCATAATAGTACAACGATAAGGCAATATCTGAATTATTCCTGTCGATGAGCGGATCACAAATAAGTGGAGTGGAGGTCAATGGTCAGAAATAATACGTTACGATCTTAAATAGATTCATCAGCCTACAGGTCCTATTAGTATGGTTACACTTAACATTAAACCAGAAAGAAAGGCTATCTTCGGCACGCCGAAGATCTAATACCCTTGCAGACCCAACCTTTTCATAATGCTTATTGTGCTTTGCCCGTACCTAAAAAGCACAGGGAAAATAGTTAATGCCGAGTTTGGGCAAGATATCTTGATAAACAAAAAAGGTTTTTAATCAAAAACCTAGTTTTTCCCGCTATATGATATAGTGATATAGTGGTCCCATCTTAATAGGATTTCGCACATATATAAGGAGCATTGTAAAACTAATAAATGCCGAGTTTGGTCAAGATATCTTGAAAAACAAAATGTTTTTTTCATACAAAAACTTAATTTTCAACCAATTTTTCCTTTGGCAGCTATATGATCTAGTGGTCCGATCTTAATGGGATTATGCATCTATATGAGACGCATAGTAAAACTAATAAATGCCGAGTTTGGTCAAGATATCTTAAAAACAAAATGTTTTTTCATACAACAACTTAATTTTCGACCGATCGTTCCTATGGCAGCTATATGATAAAGTGGTCCGATCTTAATAGGATTTTTCCTATATATGAGGATTATAGTAAAACTAATAAATGCCGAGTTTAGTCAAGATATCTTGAAAAACAAAATGTTTTTTCCTGCGTCAACTATACGATATAGTGGTCCGATCTTAATAGGATTTTGCATATATATGAGGAGTATAGTAAACCTAATAAATGTCGAGTTTGGGCAAGATATCTTACAAACAAAATGTTTTTTCATACAACTTAATTTTCGACCGATCGTTCCTATGGCAGCTATATGATATAGTTGTCCGATCTTAATAGGATTTTGCATATATATGAGAAGCATAGTAAAACTAAAAAGTGTCGAGTTTGGTCAAGCCTATGGCAGCCATTTCCACCTGTCTGTTTCTATGCGAACAACTCTCTGTCTTAGAGCTATCTTAATTGCAGAAGTCCCTCGTCCTGTTGCACGCATCCCATAGGTGAAAACCAGCTGAATCGGACCACTATATTGGTCGATGCTATTCTAGAATATGTATACTTTGTGAAAAATGTCAAGCCGCCATTTCCCAATTTATACCAGCGAAACCCGTCACCTCATGAATATCTAATTTTTAATTTTAAAACATAGTCATCTGTTCATTATCTATGTTATGAGTTATTTGAATCGACTGACGGAAATCCGTTGACATTAACTTTGATTGACTACAACCGATCTCTTTAAGACTCTTAATTTTAAATTCTATATTGCATTTATTCGTTCGTGCGAAATCGCACCTTTTTATAATATAATTATCCCAATTGTTTTAAGAAGCTTTGATGTTATATTGAAATAGTAACCAAAAGGTACCCTTAGAAAAGAATAATTTGGTAAGTTTTGGTTTAATCATTTTATATGTATTTTTCAACAGGTTAGGTCATCATTAAAACATATATTTCATAGAGAAAAATCCTACAGTATTGTTCGGGGATCTGATTTTCCTTGTTTCGATTGCAATGTAGTATTCTTGCGAGAGCTATTTTGATCAGCACGAAATAAACAGTCCATACGGTCAGCCTCGAAAAATGAATAAACAACACGGACATTGTTAGTAAAGCCACCGCCGTCTTTCCATGCACTGACGATAACTATCGGATCACCATCACTAATTAAGTCACTTTTCTTTGCGCTTGTTAATGCAAAACCTACTCGTGCATCAACATCATTTGCATAATTTTCAGCGCAGTCTGCCGAATAAAGTAAAGGTAAAACACCACGATGCAAATTAACCCAGCGAGCTGCCCTCTCACATCTAGTGACTGCTAGAATTAGACATCGAGGTCTAAACTTGCTAAGTAGGGCCGCAGACCGTCCTGATGTAGTAAGCGCAATGATTAGTGTAGCTTTGGTGCGCCTTGCTCTTTCAACAGTAGTTATAGCTATTGAATGAGAAGCATCTAGCTCCCCCTGCGTTTCATGAACCAAATCCTCAAAAAGATCGCGGTACCATACCATCTTTTCTGCTTCACGACACAGGATATAACAAATACTTACAGTTTCAATTGGATATAAGCCAATCGCCACCTCAGATGACAACATAATGCAATCAACTCCGTCAATGACTGCATTTGCAAGATCAAAACATTCTGCACGTGTCGGAAAGGGATTAAAACGCATCGACTCCAGAACATTCGATGCAATTATTACTGGCTTGCCTACCTTATGACATTGTCCCAATACCGACTTTTGAGTTATGAAAAGTTTTTCAATTAGAATTTGTGTTCCCAAGTCGGCACGGCTCAGAAGTAATCCATCCGATGCGTTCATTATTTCTGGCATTAGGCTCAGTGCAATCTTGCTGTCCACCTTAGCTATGATCTTAATATGCTTGCCCTTATCACCAAGCACAGAACGTAGCTCTCTAATATTTCTTGCACTCCGCACTCCCGAAGCGAAAACAAGCGAAAACAAGCGAAAACAAACAAACCGCAGCTATATGATAAAGTGGTCCGATCTTAATAGGATTTTTCCTATATATGAGGATTATAGTAAAACTAATAAATGCCGAGTTTAGTCAAGATATCTTGAAAAACAAAATGTTTTTTCATACAACAACTTCCTGCGTTAACTATACGATATAGTGGTCCGATCTTAATAGGATTTTGCATATATATGAGGAGTATAGTAAAACTAATAAATGTCGAGTTTGGGCAAGATATCTTACAAACAAAATGTTTTTTTATACAACTTAATTTTCGACCGATCGTTCCTATGGCAGCTATATGATCTAGTTGTCCGATCTTAATAGGATTTTGCATATATATGAGAAGCATAGTAAAACTTATAAATGTCGAGTTTGGTCAAGATATCTTAAAATCAAAATGTTTTTTCATACAACTTAATTTTCGACCGATCGTTCCTATGGCAGCTATATGACATAGTGTACCTATCTTAATAAGATTTTGCATAATTATGAAGAGCACAATAAAATTAACAAATGTCGAGTTTGGTCAATATATCTTGAAAAACAAAATATTTTTTTCATACAACCTAATGTTCGACCGATCGTTCCTATGGCAGCCATATGATATACTGGTCCGGTCTTAATATGATTTTGCATATATGTGAGGAGTATAGTTAAACTAATAAATGCCGAGTTTGGTCAAGATATCTTAGAAACCAAATGTTTTTTCATACAACTAAATTTTCGACCGATAGTTCCTATGTCAGCGATATGATATAGTGATCCGAACTTCATAAGATTTTGCATATATATGAGGAGTAGAGTAAAACTAACAAGTGTCAAGGTTGTTCAATATATCTTAAAAAACAAAATGTTTTTTCTTACAACAACTTAATTTTTGACCGTTCGTAGCTATGGCAGTTTTATGGTATAGTTGTCCGATCATAATAGGATTTTGCATATATATGATGAGCATAGTTAAACTAATAAATGTCGAGTTTGGTCAAGATATCTTACAAACGAAATGTTTTTTATACAACTTAATTTTTGACCGATCGTTCCTATGGCAGCTATATGATATAGTGGTCCGATCTTAATACGATTTTGAATATATATGAAGAGGTAAGTAAAACTAATAAATGTCGAGTTTGGTAAAGGTATCTTAAAAACAAAATGTTTTTTCATACAACAACTAAATTTTCGACCGATCGTTCCTATGGCAGCTATATGACATAGTGTACCCATCTTAATAGGATTTTGCATAATTATGCAGAGCAGAATAAAATTAACAAATGTCGAGTTTGGTCAATATATCTTAAAAAACAAAATATTTTTTTCATACAACCTAATGTTCGACCGATAGTTCCTATGGCAGCTATATGATCAAGTGGTCCGATCTTAATAGGATTTTTCCTATATATGAGGATTATAGTAAAACTAATAAATGTCGAGTTAAGTCAAGATATCTTGAAAAACAAAATTTTTTTTCATACAATAACTTCCTGCGTCAACTATACGATATAGTGGTCCGATCTTGATAGGATTTTGCATATATATGAGGTGTATAGTAAAACTAATAATTGTCGAGTTTGGGCAAGATATCTTACAAACGAAATGTTTTTTCATACAAATTAATTTTTGACCGATCGTTCCTATGGCAGCTATATGATATAGTGGTCCGATCTTAATACGATTTTGAATATATATGAAGAGTAAAGTAAAACTAATAAATGTCGAGTAAGGTAAAGGTATCTTAAAAACAAAATGTTTTTTCATACAACTTAATTTTTGACCGTTCGTAGCTATGGCAGTTTTATGGTATAGTGGTCCGATCATAATAGGATTTTGCATATATTTGAGGAGCATAGTTAAACTAATAAATGTCGTGTTTGGTCAAGATATCTTAACAAAAAAATGTTTTTTCATACAACTTAATTTTCGACCGATCGTGCCTATGGCAGTTATATGATAAAGTGGTCCGATCTTAATAGGATTTTTCCTATATATGAGGAGTATAGTAAAACTAATAAATGCCGAGTTTGGTCTAGATATCTTGAAAAACAAACTGTTTTTTCATACAACAACTTCATTTTCGACTGATCGTTCCTGTGTCAGCTATATGATATAGTGGTCCGATCTTAATAAGATTTTGCATATATATGAGGAGTATAGTAAAACTAATAAATGTCGAGTTTGGTTAAGATATTTTAAAAACAAAATGTTATTCATTTAACTTAATTTTCGACCGAACGTTCCTATGGCAGCTATATGATAAAGTGGTCCGATCTTAATAGTATTTTTCATATATATGAGGAGCATAGTAAATCTAATGCCGAGTTTGGTCAAGATATCTTGAAAAACAAAATGTTTTAATTTTCGACCGATCAGTCTCATGGCAGCTATATGATATAGTTGTCCGCTCTTTATAGGATTTTGCATACATATGAGGAAGAAAGTAAAACTAATAGATGCCGAGTTTGGTCAAGATATCTTGAAAAACAAAATGTTTTTTCATACAAAAACTTAATTTTCGACCGATCGTTCCTATTGCAGCTATATGATATAGTGATCCGATCTTAAAAGGATTTCGCATATATATGAGGAGGATAGTAAAACTAATATAAGCCGAGTTTGGTCAAGATATCGTGAAAAACAAAATGAAAAACAATATGAAAAAATACAAACACTTAATTTTCGACCTATCGTTCCTATTGGAGCTATATGATATAGTGGTCCGATCTTAATAGGATTTTGCACATATATGAGGAGTATAGTAAAACTTATAAATGCAGACTTTGGTTAAGATATCTTGAAAAACAAAATGTTTTTTTATACAAAAACTTAATTTTCGACCGATTGTTCCTAAGGCATCTATATGATTTTTCATATATATGAGGACTACAGTAGAACTAATAAATGCCAAGTTTGGTCAAGATATCTTGATAAACAAAATGATTTTTTTATCCAAAAACTTAATATTCGACCGATCATTCCTATTGCAGCTATACGATATAGTGATCCGATCTTAAAAGGATTTCGCATATATATGAGGAGGATAGTAAAACTAATATAAGCCGAGTTTGGTCAAGATATCTTGAAAAACAAAATGTTTTTTCATACAAACACTTAATTTTCGACCTATCCTTCCTATTGGGGCTATATGATATAGTGGTCCGATATAAATAGGATTTTGCACATATATGAGGAGTATAGTAAAACTTATAAATGCAGACTTTGGTTAAGATATCTTGAAAAATAAAATGTTTTTTATACAAAAACTTAATTTTCGACCGATCGTACCTATGGCAGTTCTATGATATAATGGTCTGATCTTAATAGGATTTTGCATATATATAAGGAGCATTGTTACACCAAAGACAATATAAACACTAAGATGAGTAACGCCCATACATTTGAATGCGACGCAAAATTTCTAGCCTGCCCTTTCATCTGGCCTTTGAGGCTTCGAACGGCATTCCTGCCGACTGGTTGTTCGATCTCCAAACACCAGACGAACGAATGCCGAAGTCGCGGCTTGCTGATGCTGACACGAGCTATGAAGTTAATCGCCAGCCTGCCTTCAGCAAAGCTGGTCGATGCTGCTTTGCGTAGCTTCGTTTTTGAAGTACATTGAGCAAAAAAGTTTTGAAGTTTTTTTATCCACGAAAAGCATGCTTTATTTAAATGATATACTACCCTAGGTATTACCAATAAGTTTACAGGAAAACTTTTATAATTTTTACACAAGGCGTTTCTTGCGCAATAACTATGTTAAGAAAATAACATACATAGATTGATTTCACTTTTCTTTTTGGACAGTGTATGCTCGAGAAAAGTTCTTGTCTCAGCCAATAGCGTGCGTGCACCTTTCGTTGTATGCGTGAATTATACATGCATACGATCTTAAAAGTATGTATGTATGTGTTGTTATTCACTGCTCTGGCCTTAGCTGCCATGAAATTAATTTTGTTAGTTTTCTTACGCAGATCATGACCTATCCCAAATTTATGTTGATATATGAATGCAGTTTGTGTACTAAGAAAATTGTTTCTTTGTTACTTTGCCAGAGCAGTGGATAACAACACATTCAAATATGCTGTTATGTATGTATGTTCTCACGCATACAAACATAATTGCATGCACGGCCCTCATAGAGCCGGAGCTGAGAGAAAATTCTATTCTTAGCTTTTTCGTTCTCTCGGCTGATAGAGCGTAATGCTACAGATTTCGTTTTCGTTCTCAATTTTCAAAATATCAAGCTGCATAGTAGCTTTTTGTTGTATGGCGTTACTCATCTTAATGTTTATATTGTCTTTGGTTAAACTAATAAATGTCGAGTTTGGTCAAGATATCTTAATATATATATGATAAAGTCGTGCGATCTTAATTGGATTTTGCATATATAATAAATTATATAATATATAAAACATTCGGAAAATAATAATAACATAAATTCCGAATGTGGTCAAGATATCTTGGAAAAAAAAAAGTTTATTCATACAACTTAATCTTCGACCGATAGTCCCAATGTCAGCTATAAAATATAGTGGTCCGATCTTCATAAGATTTTGCATATAAATGAGGAGTAGAGTAAAACTACTAAATGTCGAATTTGGTCAAGATATCTTAAAAACAAAATGTTTTTTCATACAACAACTTAATTTTCGACCGATCGTTCCTATGGCAGCTATAAGATATAGTGGTCCGATCGAACTGGTTTTCACATATATGCTGCGTGCAACAGAAAGAGGGACTTTCGCAAAAATCCATTTTGGTCAAAACATTTTGAAAAACAAAATAATTTTTCATACAAAAACTTAATTTTCGACCGATCGTTCCTATGGCAGCTGTATGAAATAGTGGTCCGATCTTAATAGGATTATGCATATATATGAGGAGCATAGTTAACCTAATAAATGTCGAGTTTGGTCAAGATATCTTAAAAAAAAAAATGTTTTTTCATACATTTTAATTTTCAACCGATCGATATATGCAAAATCCTATTAAGATCCGACCACTATATCATATA